TTTTATTGCCCTTCAAGAATTGTCTAGGCCGGGCACAGTGGTTCATGCCTGTAATCCCAGCACTTTGGGAGGCTGAGGGGGGCGGATCACTAGGTCAAGAGATCGAGACCATCCTGGCTAACATGGGGAAACCCCGTCTCTACTAAAAATACAAAAAAATTAGCCGGGCATGGTGTCTGGAGCCTGTAGTCCCAGCTATTCAGAGGCTGAGGCAGGAGAAGGCGTGAACCCAGGAGGCGGAGCTTGCAGTGAGCCAAGATTGTGACACTGCGCTCCAGTCTGGACGACAGAGCGAGATTCAGTCTCAACGGAAAAAAAAAAAAAAAAAAAGGAATTGTCCAAAGGATAAAAAGGAACAAATAAATTGATCAGGTATGTATTTTCTGACAGGGCCCACTATGCTGCAGAAGGGGAAAAAAGCTACAGAAAGGAGAGAGGATAGACGCTTATATCCCTGGGAAGAGCCAGGCTTCCAACAAGAAAGTCAAAGAAGGAACAAAATATAATAACTTTATCATGGATATAACTTAATCCACAAAAAGGCAGAGAGTTGTAGGGACAAAGGGAATGAGACAGAAGGCTGCAGAAGAACCAGAACACGTCGAACTGAATGATACCACGATGCATATTTTGAACATGGGTCATATTTTTGGCTGCCCTATAGTTAAACCTCGTCTTATATTTGGGCAATTTCCCCAAAGTTTGTGTCTTAGCGAGAAAGGCAAGTGTGTTGATATGTTTACAAACAAAATCTTCCACCCTTCTAGAATCAAAATCTCCATCTCCGCCTCTTCTTTTTACACTCCTCATGAGGAAACCACTCTACCTGGCAGAGCTGTCTCCCTCCTCCAGCTCCCCAAGAACTCACAGGAAAACCATGCTGTCTGCTCTGGTGGAATAGAACAGACAATCTCTTGTGCCCAATTATGTCATATTTAGTTTCCTGAGCAGAATCTTATGTCGATTTCATGTCATCTGATTCTGTCTCTCTCTTCACTGATGCTCATCACTGGGTTTCCAGGTCTGCAATGGGACCAGGGCCATGGTTTCACTTCCATTCGACCCAGCTGGCTGCTTGTTACTGGAGACAATGATCCTGATTTAAAAAATTCTTTCAAGCTGACAAAAACATACAAAAGTCAACATGCATCTCAGCTCATGGGATCATATCTCTGCAGGTCAACCAGCAGCTGCCAGTTTTCCAAATGAAATTCAGACCAAAGCCAGATAAGACATCCTGTCACAGGCCATGTGTCCCTCACCTTTGCGAAGCGTCAGTTCATGCTATTTGCCTGTTGAGTTATTAAAATCGCTTGTCCACTTAAAATATTTGCATTTATTATTTCTAATATTATATGGATCACAAATGTTTGATCTGTAGTCCTTTGTTAGCAACAATTAACACAAATTAAATGCAATGCCATGATGGATAGAGATTGTTTATTAACAATGAGAAATGATTATACGTCATCTTACTTTTGTTACTGAGAAGAAGTTCTAGATTTTTTGTGAGGGTAGGAGTTTGAAAAGCCCAAGGGGACCCTGACTCTCCAACTCTTATGGTAGTCACCTTAAATATTTAATATTGAGCTTAGAAGTGTGTGTTTCGCATAGTCTGCTTTTATAACTTTTAGTACATTTGAAAATGGCTCATACTACAGAAAGCTAAGAAATTTAGAATCTAGCATGTAGAAATGAGTTTCCTACCTTCAATACATTCTTTTCTTCCATTCCAAGATAAATGGCAAAATTAACGGCTAAAATCCACAGCACGGCTAATGGTTTTCCTGTTAAACTGTCTGGCTAGACTTTCACTTCCAGGCAGCGTGCTAGAATATATCTGGTAGAGCATAGAGATACTCTGAAGCTCCATCCTGATGAATAGCTAGAGCCCACATAAAATGTATCTTTGCTGCATTTTTGGATTTCCAAGAAGTGAGGAAAATTTCAACTGCTTTTTGAAAAGGTGAAACGGGAGCCTGTAGTGAAAACAAAATGAAGAGCCTATTTCAGATGTGCATCCTGGAGGTCTGACCATGCCACCTTCCTTCCCATCTCCAACTGTTTGGCATCATCTTTTGACATCTGGACAAGTCTAGCTTCCGTGGGTCTTGGGAGACAGGGATAGATGTTGAAGCTGGAGGCTGGAAGGGAGTCTGATGATGCTGTTTTGATAGAACCATTTGCTCAGACCCAGGAGACAGGTTTCCTATCCTTAGAAACTCTTGCTCCAAGAACTTAGAGGAACATCCAGAAGAGGAAAAAGAAAAAAAAATACCCTTTCTAGTTTAAGTCTTTCATCACTTAGAGTCAGGGGAATGGTGCTCCAGGTATTCTTTGGTCTGATAAGTAGATTTCCCTTGGTAATTACTCTCTTTGCAATATCCCTCGAGGAAGCCCTGATTTGTCAGGCTCACTGCCCAGGTCTCAGGAAGTCATTTCCTGGCAGGATTGAGCTGGAGCAGAGGCCCAGTGTCCAGAGCCTCTCTTATTCCTCTCAGGAAGGGGTCCTCCCCCGGCATCTGCTTGTGAGCGCTCCTCTTTCCCATCTCCCCCTTTCTCATCCCATGCAGGGTCACATGCAACGAATCTGGCAGTCTAGGCTCTTTGCTAGAACAAAAGCACCTGCACAGCAAGGCAAATGAACAGTCTGTATTTAACCTCTCACATTTCAGCATTAACACAGCTTCTGCAGACCACATTTTCCCCTGTTGCAAATAAACTCGATATTTCTTTTAACTGTCTTCCATCCAGAGAATACTCTGTCCTTCCTCTGAGTTCCCTTAATCTCAGTAGAGTCACAGCTCCTCCTTGTGGTAAAAGGTCAAACATGTCAACACTGTCCCATGGTGGACCAAAGGCAGCAGGGATGTTGAGGTCTTAGAAATAGAGATATGCAGCCAGGCATGGTGGCTCATGCCTGTAATCCCAACACTTCGGGAGTCCGAGGATGGCAGATCATGAGCTCAAGAGGCCGAGACCATCCTGGCCAACATGGTGAAACCCCGTCTCTATTAAAAATATAAAAATTAGCCGGGTATGGTGGCATGCGCCTGTAATCCCAGCTAGTCTGGAGGCTGAGGCAGGAGAATCACTTGAATACGGGAGGTGGAGGTTGCAGTGTGCCGAGATCGCCCCAATGCACTCCAGCCTGGGCAACATGAGAGAGAATCCATCTCAAAACGGAAAAAAGAAGATAAAAACGGGAAATCAGAGAGGTTCACTCCTTCCTTTCTTCAAGAGGCTTCTACCTAAAATTAAAACATGCAAAATTGTACCTCACCTTTAACAAATGTAAAAACTGGCTTTCAGAGTTAACAGACTGAATTTTTGCAGAACAGCATTCCCACCAAAAACTAGATAAACTTAACAAAATATAAAAATAAATGCTTGAAAGCACTTGGAGCTACTGAGGCAGTAAGAACCTAACGGACTGGGATCTCAAGGAGAAAGGAGAGATCTAACAGACCACTTTTCCCTTTAAGTCATTTGCCAATTTTATATCGCTGCCTAAGTAGCTGAGGGAAAAAAGGGAAGACTGAGAGTGTAGCGGGCTTTGAGGAGCATCCACCACCTTTCTGGTCTGGAGAGCGTTTATGTTCAGTGACTACTGAATCGGAGAGGAGCCTGGCAAAGACCCCAGGCCTTGGTGCTAGGGGCAGAAGCAGGGATTGACTGAAAATGAGCACGAAGGAACTTTCTGGGTGGGGAGGATGAAATGTTTTACAGCTGGATCACGGTGATTGTTGCACAACTCCACAAATTTATCAAAATTCATTGAATTGCACACTCACAATGGGCAAATATTATGTTATGTAATTTACACTTTAATTAAGCTGTTACACTCCAGACATCTAGTTGGAACTTAAATGGCTAAGACCAAAGGCGAGCAGCCATCACGGAGGCTGAAGTCCAGCTCTGATCCAGCTCAGTCACTAGCTCAATTAAGGTGATCTGCCCCTGCTACAATTCCCAGCAGAAGCAAAAGTGAATCATTTGAGGAAGATGAAATCACTCAGAGCCTCAGATTATCTCTATAGTTTTTATATACAATATCCAGCATTCAAATAAATCACTAGTTGTGTGAGAAAACAAAATCACATGCCGAGAAAAGAAACAGAGAAAACAGAAAAAAGAAACAGACCCAAACAGATTCAGATGTTAAAGGTGTCCAAAACTGGCTTTCAAATGTTGGATGTTAATATAGTCAACAAAGTAAATGACAAAATGTAGAATTTTAGCAGACAGCTGGAAATTGTAGTAAGATTTAAGTGGAAATTCTAGAACTGAAATATACAAAATACCTAAAATTTAGAATTCAATAGATATGTTTAAAAGAGCAATAGTTTCTTAAATGAAACTCAAGAAGTTAATCTGGCTGCCTCATGTTAAGTTGAAAGTGACAAATTCATTCCTACCTCTGCCTCTAGATGTCTCTTGACTTTTGCTGCTGAATTCTGTTCCTGCACTGCCTGGCTTTATTCTGGCGATTCTCATGCTGGTCTAGACCTCTGCTGACCTTGAAATGGTGTAAAATGGTATCCTAATATTAGACTCCATGTTTTCTACTCTCTTAACTTGTTATTTTGTGAGCTAGCATCATTAGACCAAATGTAGCACACCGGGGTGACAGGATCATTAGATAGTTCTGCTCTTGACCACATTCTGAACAAGACCGATTGATATTGAGTTCCTTGTACCAAGCCCCTTCTCCTTCTGAAGATTTCTGTGGCAATCCTCTGTATTCTCATGGGAATACCTGAACTCCCACTCCATAATCATCTCGCTATCCTAGGAGTTAAAATATGTTTTCCTAAAAAAACTAAAACAAAAAAATTCTAATAAAGATGCAAAATGGGAATAGGGAGAAGATACAGGTTACTTGGTCGTGTACAATTCTCCCATATTCAGAGCCCACCATCACACTCTGTAGTATCTGTAAACATTCTTCAAATCCTACAGCATCTGGACATTCCTGTCCAACATATCTTTGTTAATTCAATTTCGGATATCTGTTTATTTGGAGACGGCAGCAAGAACAAACCCAACCAGAGACTTCCTTTTCTTAGACAGGAAGTGGGTGCTGGCGGCTGGGAGGGAGGCAGATCTATGAGGGTTTTTGAGCAGGCTGGAGGTGTCTTTGCAAGGCTGTGGCTTCACTGCTGGCACAGAAGTACATGGCTGAGTCCTCCAGCTTTGTGGACTTGATCTTCAGCGTGAAATGTACTCCATCAGACCTTCCAACTGAGAATTGATCTTCAAATATTTCAGACTGCTCTGAGATCTTACCATTATAGAAGGAAACCAGAAACTCGACTTTCTGCCCCAAGATTTGTCTGTACCAATAGAAGTAGAAATGATTAGAGATGGGGACACACCGCAAGATCACTTCCTGTCCCATCTGTGTGACCTGATGGCTGGGAGTCTGGGTGACTTCAGGTTCTGTGTGTCCTGTGGGAAAAGAAGAAGATTAAGAGAATGGTTTAGAATTGTCTTAGGTAAGTTCAAAACAAGAATCTCCTAGAGTCCTAAGCATCGACCTGCTTTCAAGAGACTAAAAATTGCCCAACATAGGAGCCAGGTATCCATGGCAGGATCACAGCAGGAATGAGGGCTCTCCTAGCTCAGGCATCTGGTCCTGTGGAGGAAATGAGTGGCATTTTGAGTTCCCATGGACCCCAGGCAAGGTCTGGCAGAATTGCTGGTGTCTGGGGCAACACCCACCATCCCTGGAGCGCCCTCTATAGGAGAGAGGAGGGAGCCTTTGTGTTGGTGCCGAAACCTGACAGTGCAGGGCTCTGCTCAGGGGTCTGACGGTGTGTGCAGAACTGAGGGCCGTTAATTATTAAGAGCAGTGCTGGAAAATACGGGGCTTAGCAAGGTAACCCTGAGTACAAAGTCCGGCTCAGAAATTCCAGGAGGTCGCCTTCTCTTATTACCTGCTGTGAGCAACAATTCAGGTGCAACAGACTCCATGGCTGATAATGGATGCCGCGAAAACTTGGTATTAGGATTAAAGAGACAGAAGGAAAAACAATCAAGTTTGAAAGTTTTAAATCCTGAGTGGAAGAGAGAAGCCAACAAGAAGTTGAAACTCTGCACATGCCCCAGGGAGAGTGAACTAGAGAACAATGATGCAAACCCCATGGGGAATCACTGTCCTCAGGGTCAGGCATGATACAGCCACCTGAGGAGGGCATTGGGTATTCTTTATTTAAAAAAAAAAGAAAAAGGAGCTGCCAGGTGCGGTGGTTCACGCCTGTAATCCCAGCACTTTGGGAGCCCGACGGGGGCAAATCAAGGAGTTAAGAGTTTGAGACCATCCTGGCCAATATGGCAAAACCACGTCTCTACTAAAAATACAAAAATTAGCTGGTTGTGGTGGCAGGCGCCTGTCATTCCAGCTACCCGGAAGGCTGAGGCAGGAGAATTGCTTGAACCTGGGAGGTGGAGGTGGCAGTGAACCGAGATCACGCCACTGCACTACTCCAGCCTGGTGACAGAGTGAGACTTCATCTAAAAACAAACAAGCAAACAAAAAACAAAAGAAAAGGTCTGAGCAGATTTTGAGCTGGGATGAGGGGTGAGATCCAGGGTCTAACTTGGGTGGAAAGATAAATAAAAAAGGTTCATATTGGAAGGCAGATTGGTGTGGCCAGAGTGTTAAATGCTACACACAAGATTTCCTGAGGCACAAACGAACTGGAAGATACTTGGAACAACTTAAACTTGACAGCATCTGTCCTGCATTCAAGTTCAGGCACAGTCTCATTCAAGACAAAGTCAGGACGTGGGCTGCAGGTGTCTGGGCAATTGTCACATCCAATAAATGACAGTATTATAGTCTGAGATTTCTGCCGAGGCCCTCCGTGATGCTCAACTGAGTGTTGAGGCTCAGCTGGACATGTTGCCCCCACGGGTTCTTCACTAGACCCAGGAGGTTTGTGCATAGGGAGGCGATGACTCTGCAGGGTTGTGCCTTGGCTGCTGAAACAGAGATTCACAGCTGAGTCTTCTAGCTGCAGCATGACCACATGAAGGTGTACACAAGAGCTGTTGGCATTCAGGTGTGACACTGTGTTGGCACAGTCTCGTTTTGAATGAGTTCCTTATAGTTGTAGTGAAACATGAACTCCAGGGATTTCTTAGCTTTCTGTCTGTAGCAGTATATAGAATCATGTCCCAGATGCTCACGTTTCATCGTCCTTTTACTCCTCATTGCTGTGACCAGGTATTTTGGTGTCTGGGTAATTCCAGTATCTGTGGGGCCTGTGAAAATAAGAAGCCAAATTCAGACTAAGCCTAGGACAGAGTATTCTGAGGCAGTTCCATGAAAAAAGCAAAACATTCAAGGACAGAAATGTCCCACCTGTATCCAGGACTCACCTGAGACAATGGACCACACCACAGTGGAGGCTGCAGCCCATGGCAGGGTCACACGGGCAGAGGCGTGGGGACCCTGAGTCTCCCTGCTTGGCATTCTGGTCTTGTGGGTGTGCTTCCCTGGCCCTGAGACAGGGGCTGCTTGGGAAGTCTCCGCTCCTGTTGGTGTCACTGTTAGTGTCTACAGCTCACACTTCCTCTTTCCCTTTCAAGCTTTGTGCAGGCACCTCAAGAGGTGGGTTTAGACTAGCTTGTCAGGGCCAGGTGTGCACGGCAGCTTCCTCAGACAGTTGGTTTTTTCTTAGCCACTGCCCGTCCTCCCCATAATGAATAACTGGATCTCTCCTTCCTCTTTCTACTTGTGGCTCCCCTCCTCCCCATCATACAGACCCCTTCCCTTTGGGCAGATGCCTTCCCCATGCCTGTCTTGGACCTAGGACGAGCGCACTCCGGCTCCCCTCTCTCATTTCAGTGAACTCCAGGAGGCCTCCTCACCCGGCTCAGCTGAGCCCTTCCCTGGGGCCAGCTGTGCATAAGTTTAAGACCCAGTAATGTGATGCCAACTAGGGAGGGAGCACCCTTCAGTGGGTGCTGAGGGGGCGCGAGAGGAATAATCTGCGACCCCTACCCCAGGGGAGCATCTCACCTACTTAGGATGACAGACCTGAACACAGACTCGAATAACAGGAGGCCCTCCAAGCATGAGCAGAAGGACTGCAGAGATGAGGCTACGCAGGTCCAGGTGGAATGGACTTTAGTGTCTTCATGTTGTCTACACATGATCTCTCAACTAGCACAGGAGCAAACTCTGATGCCAGAGCATTTGATTCCTTCCTTAGTCCTTTCCTTCCTCCTGCCTCTCTTCTCCTCCTTCCATTTGACTTGAGAATGTCCCTAAAGTCACAACTCCTCCTGGTGGTGAAAGAGGCACATGGCCCTCTTCTCAGCCATCTGCCCACAGTCCTCCAGATACAGGACTGGGAGCATAGATACACAAAGGGATTCCACAGGGGAATACACAAAGCAAGAAGACATTTGAAACGCCGAAGTAAAGGCTTAGCAACTCTCACTGCCCCTTACTGGTGAAACGCCTCCAACAGCCTCCAAATACACACTTAAGATATCAAAATAATATGATCTACTAGGTATTTATGGAACACAGAACTATATGTCAGGCACCGTTTGAGGACCAGGAATAGAGCAATGAATAAAACCAACTCTCATGGGCACATGGACCATTTTAATTTGTTCAAAAAGCTTTTGTGAATAATGTTCACATTCTCAAAGTGCTTCAGGGATTACAGGAGCTATAAGACATGTTTGACGGGAGCTGGGCACAGTGGCTCACGCCTGTAATCCTAGCACTTTGGGAGATAGAGGGGGTGGAATACGAGGTCATGAGTTTCAGACCAGCCTAGCCAATGTGGTGAGATGTCATCTCTACTAAAAATACAAAAAAACTTAGCTGGTGGGGGTGGCGTGCACCTGAAGTCCCAGATACTCAGGAGGCTGAGGCAGGAGAATCACTTGAACTTGGGAGGCAGAGGTTGCAGTGAGCCAAGATCACGCCACTGCACTCCAGCCTGGGCGACAGAGCAAGATTCTGTCTCAAAAAAACAAAACAAAACAAAACAAAACAAACACATGTTTGACATGTTTACAGATAACATCTAATTTGGAACGTTTTACATGGTATGCTTTAGGAAGGTTAAAGTAATTGGTGTTTCGGTGTCTAAATCATTTCATCTACCAACCTCATTTTCTCATCCTTGAAATCTGGATGTGGGGAGAGACTGAAATAATTTTCTCCAACTCTACACAGCTCTGAAACAATGAAAGCCAAGCAGGATAGACTTCACCAGGCTGCTGTGCCAGAAGCTTCCATGGTTCACGGCCCCTGTCAAAATACTTTACAGAGTGCAGGGGCTTAATACGTATTTGCTTAATTGGCCAACAAATAGATGGGTGGAATGGAAAACAGTAAAATCCACAGGTAAAAGGTAGGTCTAAGCACTTAAAAATTGTGTTTCTAATGTGCTGTGGTTGGCATTGGTATATTTGTATCTGTACCTCCTCAGAAATCAGGACATAGTCTCAGTATGTAAGGCTGGAATGTAACTGATAAAAATAATTTTTATTTCAAAGGCTTTATTTATAAATAATAATGTTTAAATGTTGATGAAGCATTGTCCAAAGGAGATATGGAAATAGAGGGATTGTTAATTCTTAAATTCTCCTTCCTGTCAGGTTTCCCATCATTCTTTGAGCATTTCCTTACTTGATGGCACAAGGGGTTCTAGGCTTTTCCTGCCTGTCTTGGTATCTACTATTTGTCCAAAAGTTCTGGTTCCTTCTAGTGGACAATGGTATTTACAAAACAGAATATGGACACTAGATGTTTTGGGGTGCCTCCGGGGTGAACTATTATTAGGCGTCACAGTGGACAGAGCTGTACATACACATGTGTATTCACAGTACATATATATTTACAGGTATCTTTAATTCCTCTTTAGACATATTAAGAAGCAATGAGTTCACACCAGTTCCCATCCAATATTATGTTTATTGTTGTGTCAACTGCTCTCTCTTTCCATATTTGCAACTTCCTTATCCAACACTGAGAAGACTGGTTTTGTTATCCATATAAATCTGCATATTTGATCAATCCCTTTGCATGTAACTACATGTATGCTGCGGCTGCCACCATCTCTCCTTTGTAAATGGCCTTATCCCTACATTCAAGTTCTGACTTCCTGTGCCAGGGAGACCACCCAGGAGAATTGAAACTCTCCTCACCTCAGTCCAATTTCTAACACACCACACAAGGGATGCCTTGCCCCACCCAGTGCCCTTTGCAATTTGCTGGGGCTTCCACAATCTGCAGGAGGCTGCTTTCCACACCCCATCTGGACTCACTCCACTTTTGCGGAGACACTTTCCACATGCTGCATGGTCTCTATCTCCTTCCAACAGGCCTCCCTTCTACACAGATACAAAGAAACGCACCACTTTGGTCCACTGTATATCATGTCACAGTGTCTTTATTGCATAACTTGAGGCACCTGACATGGGTGATGAGCAGGGAAGGCCTCAGGACCTTTTAGGAAAATCTTCTTAGTGTATGGGGTGATGGTTGCAACTAGTGAGTTTGCTTGTACTTGATCCGTCTGGGCTTCTCTGAGCCCTGTGTAGTTTTATGATTCTTCACCTTGTTCTTCAGGGAGCAATGCCCATTTCATCTTTCTAAAAATCCTAGGGTTTTCCTTCCATACTAACACACGTTCTTGTGAGTACTTGTCTCCCTTACTCAATTGGATCTTCCTAAGGTCACAGGCTGTATCTTAATCACTTTCTCTTTTCTCCTTCCTCATGCAACCACCCGCCTCACCTGCCAGCATTTGCAGAACACCTTAAAGGTACAACAGCAGCTGCTCCTTATAGCCCACCACATGCCTCTTTCCATTCTCTCCCTTGAAAGTAGGAGCTGGGGGTCCCCTTCCAATATTTTCAGGTGCACAGTCATTCTTGCTAGGACCAAAGGCTTGAGAACCACAACCAGATGTTTTCTTCTCAGCATTTGAAGGCCTGCCTGAAGTCTCAGTTCCTCAAGGACTGATCCCATGCTCTGTTCTGCTTAGTGAACACCTCTGACTACAAATATATAGAAAGACTCTGATTGCGATGGGTAGTACCATGTGAAAGGGAAAAATAAATCACTACAATGAAAAAAGCCCATAGGACATACATCTTTGTTTTTAGTGTGTGTGAATATTCTAGATGGTGAGACTGAGCCAACA